CTAGAAGTTTAATTAAATATTTGATTTTGTTATTGACAAACTTTGTCATTATTTAATTCGGTGCACGCTTAAAGTCCAGGCCTGGCACACTAACGCGAATCCGCGTAAAGTACCCGTTAGGGAACGGCTATTTCCGGCACACAGTAGTGTCGATAATCGTTGGAAAGTCGGAAAAATAAAATAGTACTTTACAATTTTACATTACTTATTATGTGATGAAACTGAATTTTAGTCTTTTAAATTGAGATACCTAAGTAAGGGGGCGGCGAAATTTTCCTCCACCCTAGGCAGCTGACACCCACGCTATACCACTGAAGTATAGTAATGTCATAAAAACATATACAGTAGTGCTTCATGCTTCAAATTAAATTTGTTTCGGGAGGTTGTTTAAACACTGACTTGCTCTAAGTCCAAATCAATTTTCTCTGTTTAAAAAATGTAAAGTGAATCAATCCATTCACAAATTATAAACAAATAAGATTACAATAAACCTAAACAACAAATACACATATTATAAAATAAAAATAACAGTTAAATACATTAAATAATAAATTAAAACATGCAGTCAATAAATAATATATGTAAATACTAAATAATAAAATGAAAATTGCATTTACTTGTTGTACACTGTTAACTTTGCTACCAAATCTGCCACAATGTACCATTTTCTTGCTTCACGATAAGTTTCTTTTTCTTAAAATTATGCACTCAAACCATTTATGGTGTGATAACCTTCATCGAAAAAAACGATCATCGAAAAAATGAACGTTTTCTAACCCCTTCTGGGCTCTGCATCAGGTTCTTAACTGTTCCTAGATGGATATTTGATTAACGAATGATTTTTATTTAAATGACATTTGTTAATCGAATATTCATCTGGGAATGGTTAAGAACCTGATGCAGAGTTCAGAAAAGGTTCAAAAACGTTCCCCCCATGATCTATTATCACACCATAAATAGTTTCTGAGTGCATAATTTTAAATAATTTTGGTGTGGTTGAGTAGTTATTTAAATTTTTTTTTCACCTAAATTGCCAACAGTACAGTTTTCTTAGGCTTCATTGCTTCCACACATTCTCAGATGCCATTGTTAATAGGTAGAAGTTTAAAAACTCAAACACACCAAAAATAAAGTGAAAAAAGCACTGAAAATACAGAAGCATAATACAGATGCTTTCATGACAACTGAGAGAGATGATTGGGTACACAAAAGATTGCATTTATATAGTAAGTACATTTTTCACTGCAAGCATATTTCAAATGTAGAATCATTGTTTGAACTCCAGATCTCTTGAATTTAGCATTCAAACTCTGGAATGTTTGAAGTTAGAATCATTTGAAGTATGAGCTACCACTGTAATTTTTTAGTATATTTATTTATTAATTAATTAATATCACTATTAATTTATCTTCACTACGATAATACCTTGAAATAATGAGTTTTTCCTTCCTGTAATATTATTCAGTTATGATCTGGCTAGATGTTTTCTTCAGTTTGTATACAGATGTGTTTTCTATCCTTTTGCTTAACCATTCTGAGTTCAGGTCTTTCTGTTAGAACAGGAAATAGATCAATAGGTCTGGTTCAATAGTCTGTAGAATAAAGTTTCTTTTATCTTTCTGATTTATTTATCAAGCTGCATCAATGACGATTCTTACTCTTTTGATTCTCTGTACAATTATGCATTTTTCACCTGTTGATTCATTAGTCAGAATAGTCACTTCTCATTTTCTGATCCATCAGTTTTTATTTACAAGTAATTTTATACAAATGAATATAAAGTTGTATACATGTAGTTAAAATATATAAATATGCATTTTATTTAAATAAAAGAAACTGAATCTTTAATGTACAGCATATAATTGTATACATATTTATTTGTTTTTGTGCATATTACTGTATGTACGGGACATTATAGGTTTAGTTTCTTAATTTAAATTAATCTATTTATTTGCATTTTATTTTTTAATTTTATATTTATAGGTGTGCAGTTTCCAAAAGGAATTTTACTTTATGGTCCATCTGGTACAGGCAAAACAATGATAGGAAATGCAATTCCTAATGAATATCAAGTTAATTTTATTTTAATTAATGGTGATGAGATATCTAACAGGTATGAGTTATATTCAGCTTTTTCCAACCATCAAATTAATGGAAAATGAATGTTTTTGATCACTTTCAGTGATAATCATCAGGTTCATACTGATTTTAATTAGTGTCAAAATCAGAAATGAGGAACATTTTTTAATCAGAAGGCCAAATTTTATTTTAAAAGGAATTTGTAAGGCTGTATGATATACTTTAGATGGCAAAATTGTACACATTTAATATACCTATCCCAATTATATATAGGTGTGTATGTATATATATATATATAAAGTGTACTTAGATATGTGTCTTTATCGAAAAAGAGAACATAAAGCATATTTTTATAATGAAAAAGTTTAATTTTATTGTTGTAGCTATGTACGAATGATTTTTGAATTTTATTATGACAGCAAAATTAAACTTTTATTAGGTTACTCTAAAAGCCACAAAAGGCAGGAGGTTTCCCACCTCTGGTTTAGTAACAGAATACAGTATTTAGTTTATTCTTATATTTACTCATATGTAAATATAAATAAGAGCTTAATTTTAATAGCCAATTGTATCAAAAAGCCAGATTTTTACTAGAATTGAGCTAATTAGTAATGCACCTGTTACACTTTGCAATTTTCAGCTATTTAGGCATCTGCAACTAAAACATCTACAAGTGTCATGTGCAAATCAGTAGTCACACATTCAAGACATAGCACACATTGATGAATAAAATTCTACTAATGGTTAACAGTATAGGTTACAATTGATGTTGTATAATTAGAAAAATAAACCAAACAGTCATCCTTTATAGTTTTCAACAAAAACAGAAAAGCTTTAATTTAATGAAGAAATTTCACAAGAATTTGTACTTATTGATCTATTTTATTGTCATTCCAAACTCTGTGCTTCAGTTTACCGTTATCTTAAATAGTCAGGATGATGTAGACATGGAGCTATTTCAGAATAACAATGTTCTTTCACTGTTATGAATCTGCTATTATGAAAATATTTGTTTATTGGTGCAATTGATGTGAGAACAACAAACTTTTAGTAATATTTGCACTTGCACAGTATTTGGAAGTTAGTTAATGGAAATAGCTGTCATGATTGTGGTTGCCTGCATTGTTGAAAATTTCAAAGTGTGATTGCTACTCATGTAATTAAATTACTAATGTAATTATTAATTTACTAATGTAATCATGTAATTACTAATAAGTTTACCTGTTTATTAGTAAATATATTATGAAATTTGACCTTAGTCCAAATTTTATAATTAGCTTAACACCTTCAACTGCCGTAAACCATCAGGCCATAGTAACTGATGATGGTTATATTGTAATGTTAAATGTATTGGAAAAGGAGCTCGGACTGGAGTGTTAATGGCAATGCATCTGCATGGTATGTGGCAGTTGTGGGTTCGAGTCTCACTCTGGGCTGATTTTTTTTCTTCTAATTTAATCTAAATTGTTTAATTAAATTATAATTATCAAATTTAATGAGATGGCACCTAATGCCTTTCTCTAGGGCAAAATTTATTAGTAATTTATAACTATTATTGCCAAATTATAGCCCAATGGTTTATGGCAGTTGAAGGTGTTATTGTAATGCATTGGGCTTGGTAAAGTTGTTTATATTTATAACTAGCTTACCCGTCGTGCATTGCTGCGATCTCAGAAGAAAGGAAATTTAAGCAAACTCGTTATGACAAAATTCGATTTACATTTTATAATTTTTATTAAAACTTATTATTATTACATTATTATTTCGAGTCGATATTAAAATTTGAAAAAGGGGGATACCTAGATCGGTAAAATACGCGAATTTCCTCCTACAACTTCGATTGTTGTTCGGGGTACAGTTGAGGTTTTAACGAAGTTCGAGCGAATACATAATTAGCAGAAAAAGAAAGTTGAAATAAAGTGATTAAAGAAAAATTATTACAAATATCGTAAATAACAGTTCACAAATGCATATATAGAGATATTTTTTGAAGGGGGAAAATGGTCTTCACAATTTGAAATCGATCGAACACACTGTGCTCAAATGCTCGTGTAAATGCGCACCATCTATTGTAGGATAAATGTACTATGCCAAAAACCTTCGTGGGAGTGTATTAAAAAACTTTCCGAAGTTTTATGGCAATTGTACTATGCCACAAACCTTCATCGGAGTATATTAAACAACTTCCCAAAATTTCACGGCAATCGGATAAATGGTGTGGTAATGCATGAAGGACAGACAGAGACACACACACAGACATACATTCATTTTTATATATATAGATTAGCTTAATTCTTACTGGAAATAATCCTATTTTTATGTTTTGGTATCTTCACCTTTTACAATTCGTTTCATGTGTTTATATTGTAATAAATCTTACATATTCATTAGCTAAATGAATATTCATTATGTATTATATAATTTGTTTTTACATGTTAAATTAGAAAATATATAATAAATAAGTTTAAATTCAACAATAATTTTCAAATTGGATTTTCCCTTTTCCTTCTCAAGTGGTTACAGCATACAAAATATTTACACATAACTGTTTAAAGCTATTATATTATAAATTTAAAGTATTTGCTTTCATTATATTATTATAATATAAAATTATTTAAGTTTTGTTTACATGACTTAAAAACTTGTCATTGAGTGCTGCTAATTCATATAAATTAATTTTTTTTATGAAGTGGATGTACTAGTATATATAAAAATAATTTTATGTATATAAGAGCTAAAATTATTTAAGGAGAGGAAAAAAAGGCAAATGTTATTGAAAACTTAACTTTAGAAACTGTTTTAACTACTATTTTTGATCTTTCTGAATGTGAACATTCACCAGTGTGACCCGCTATTCATTTATTCTCAAGAAAATGGCATTAAAATTTTTCAAGTTTTAGGCCAGTTTTCAAGAGCATTTTTTCAAGTTGGCTGCATTGATTATCCAAAATTGTTGAAATAATAATATCAAGCATGCCATTATTCTTTATTACAGTAAAGTTTATTCAGATAGAATATTACTTTCCCCATACACAAACAAACTATAATATATATTTATACATGTTCTTAGTTTATTTTAGTTTTAGTAAATTTTATATATATTTTTGATATTTTTATCTTGTTAATTGATGACCCAAATTCTGCTGTATTGGATCTCAAATTTAAATTAAGTACTCTTTCCGTAGAATTCTTCACGAGAACTTATTACATTGTGCTGTTATGCATAAGCTTCTATTTGCTGTCATCTGGCTTTAATATTGATGATTGCACAATGTTGATAGAGAAACAGTAACTTAATTTAAATTTGTAGGCTCCAAGAAAGCAGAGTTTGAGTTTTATTAGAAAAGTTAGAATTTATTTATTATATCTGTTGATATTTATGTTGCTATTATTTACTTGTCTGAATATATGTTTAGTGAAGCCAAGCTGAGAGAGATCTTTTCTGAAGCTAAAATAAGGTAAGAGTGTGCAAGATTAATATTAATTTTAACATATCTTATGTACTAAAAATATCACTCAGAACCCATATAATATTACAGCCTAATAATATGATTAATAGATTATTTTATATTATAATTTGCAATAAAGACTTTTTATTCTTTCATAAAAACTTTAATGGTAAAATTGAAATATTGCTTTCATTACATAAAATCATTGGTAAATTAGAATATGCTGACAGTTTTATAAGTACAGTAGAACCCGGCACTCTGGATAACTCGGCCACACCCTGGCAGGGCAAAAACATTATAGACAGCTTTATAAAAGTATAAAAGATCTCATAAAGTATTTTTCTGAGGTCTGTCTTATCAGGTAAATTACTGTACACAGTGTATTCATTAATTTTCATTTTCATGTAGTAAAGGCTCTATGCCTTCATAAAGGATGTACTTTTCCTTTGTTTAAGGGTATTTGGGCAGTTTATTCTCTGTTATATTCTCAAGTAAACAATACATACAAGTACAGTACAGTATTTTCTGAGGAAACACTCGTACTTATTTTTTTAACCCCATTCCCAATAACCCGGCATTTTCACAAACTTGGCCACCCTTCGGTCCACATTAGGCCGAGTTTTCGAGGTTCTACTGTATTTACATAGTTAGTGATAATATTTAAATGTATTTATATTTTATTCTTTGATTAAAATTAAATTAGATGTAAGATTTCCATAAAATATAAAAAATTATTATACCACATATATTTGATTGATCCAACAAAGAAATAGAAAATGTCAAGGTATTCACAGATTTACTTATTTAAAATTTTGTGTGCTATATATAAATTGAATACTGCAGCTTTTTTAGTGTATATGAAGTCTTGTTATAGAAGCAAAACAAATTTAATAAAACTTGAATGTTTTTGATCTATATGAAACATTTCATGCCATAATATTGTAAATGCAATGTTTTCTGCCTAAAAAAAATATTGTGGTGATAGTGGTACTGTAAGTGGTTGTATTTTGAAGTTGAATTTATGTGCAAGCCATAGCATTGTAAGTTCCAGACTGCAAGTAATGTGACTTTTGACACACAAAATGTTGTGGCTTATGTTTACATCATTTCATTACTCCAGAAAATTTGTAACTGAGTGAGTTTTTTTACCGTTTTTTTGTAAAATTGAAATGAATTCTTTCAAGTCTTGAAGGAAATCATTCACCAGAAAAAGTATTGTTTTATCTTTCCTGAATAGTTCTGATTTTTGGTATTTACAACACTATGGCATTACACACTTCATATGGAGTTTAGCTTCTAAAAATGAGTGATGCTAAACTCCTTGTAGCTAGCTGAACTGAATTGAAAAAAAAATATTCATCTAAGAATAGAAATATACCAGCAAGCAATTATTTGTGATATTGTAACAATTCTGTGGTGCAATTTTTCATCATAATGTCCTCAATTTTAATAGTGTCTTGCTCCTGTACATCATACCTTTTGGAGTCACATCAGTCATCTAATTCCATTCAGGAGAAAATGAATTAAAATAACATGACTTTTGGTTCAAATCAGAAGTTCATATATAGTTAAGTTTGCTTTCCATATCTGGTCTTGACTGTCATCTATCTAACTCTGTTCTTGGGATTAAGAAGGACAGACAAATGCAAGTGGGAATTTATAGGTCTAAAATTTTCAAAAGTTGCAGCCCAATCATAGAAATTAAAATGATTAAATGTTAACGAAGTTAAATATTATAGTTTTGTTAACTATTTCTAAAATTGATTTTTTTTTTTTGTTTCTTTTTTTTATAAACCTCTTTTTTATTAATTAGGTTCTAAAAGAGTTTTACAACTAATGTTAATTAAATTATACTTATTTTTAAAAAAATTATATTTTTTGAATTGTTTTAATTACCAAATTATTTTTATCTTTCTTTTAAATTCTGGTTTGATCCTTTAAAAATAATGTATGAAATAAAGAAGTCTTGGAATAAAAAAAAACAATCCAGCATTTTTACATTTACATTCCAAGATGTTGGAATGTAAATGCTTTATATTATTTAAACAAATTTTGTCTTTATAAATGCTAGTTTACAAATATATATCAAGTGTATTACATAAACTAATTATTTATTAAAATAATAAGAATCAAAAGTAAATAATCAACATAAACCATTTATTTTAATTTCTGTAAACTATAATATGTTACAATTACTATTGCATTTAATTTTCAGAGCACCAAGTATTATATTTATTGATGAATTTGATGTTCTTTGCCCAAAATATCAAGATTCTTATCAACAAGTCGAAAGGAGAGTACTTGCAACATTGTTGACATTAATGGATAGTTTATATGTGAGTAAGGATAGTTTGGATAGTAATGGATAGTTTATATGTGAATCTTTTAAAAAGATAAAAAAATATAATTATATACTTTATAAGTTCAAATGAAAAATAAATATATTTTTGATAGTTGGTTATTAGTTATGAACTTATGAAAAGCATTTATTTGATTTCTAGATAAGATTTAGACAGTATTGGAGAAAATTTCAGAATGTTATATTACTTTCCTGGCTGTTATAGAATATAACATAGAAAAAGTATGGTGATCAGTCAAAATTTTTCTCACCTTTGCATTTCTCAACATTTTGACACTCCAGGAGTCCAAAAATATAAAATAACCCAAAAGCCTCCTACAAAATGTGTTGAAATGTATTTTACATTATGTCTAAGAACTGGATGAACCATAAATATTGGAACTTGGTAGGATTATTTTTGTACATGAGACATCAATTTTGGAAATTATAAGTTGAGATGGAGTGGGTCATGTGACATTATCTCGTAAGGTCCGACTTAATGAAAATTTTACTGATTATTGATATTTAAAATTTTTAAAAAAATTCACATCTATCCCAAAATAAGGCATTTGACATTTTCTAATAATTAATTATAAAATGAAATTAAATATAAAATGATTTTTAATAAAATCTCATTGTATATGGCATCATACGTTATTTGAAGAAAAAGTATTTGTTTGAAAAATATAGGAATTTATCATAATTTAACAAAATTATTCTTTTTAAGCTTTTGTATTATTTAAATTTTATATTGTAATAAAATTGAAAATTAACTAACTTCCTTCTCATTCACCTTAACTTCCTGTTAGTATGGCAGGAGTCATGTAAAAGCTCTTGACAACATTTTTTCTGTAAGAAAATGATGCATTCTAACACTCAGAGCAATTATTTCTTAAATAATAGTTGTTATATTATAACTTGAATCAGTTATTAGTGAACTATTTTGCTATACATTATGAGAAGTACTTAAATCTTGAATATTTATTTACAATGAGGGATAATATACAAAACTAAATAAGTAAATTGGTAGCACATGACAAATAAATTAGGTACCATCAACTCCCAGCATTGCAAAGTCTATGCTTCACAAATAAAAGTTTTTACCTGATTATCATTTATTAATGTAGCTACAATAATGCACCATATTATAATTCAAAATATAATATATATTAATTATACAAGAATTTTCTGTTTAATTTTAAGATATTTTGCCATGCAGCATCTGATCTTTTAAATGCAAGTTTATCAGATAGATAAACATTTAGAGATGAAATAAAAATTTGAAGGATCACTTTCTCATTTAAAAGATAAATTATAAATACTTTTTTAATAAGGCAGTAATATACTATTTATGATTTGATATTTTTATTACTTTTTACTAACATTTAGTATGTATGATAATAATCTGTAATATTCTTATTTGAATTTGTGAAGAATACAAAAATGTTGTTTCCTGTTTGCCACTAATCACAAAGACTTGCACATTTACCATATCTATTATTCACATGTTTTGGCCATCTGTGTGGTCTTCTTTGCATGTATATTACATAGAATTTTTATTATAATATAGTTTTAAAGAAATAATGTCAGTAATTAACAGTACATGCAGAGGTCACAAAACACTTAATGTGAATAATAGATGAAATAAATGCCCAAGTCTTTGTGATTGGTGGAAAACAAGAAATGTTGTTACAAGTTTGAATAAGAATATTACTTTTATATTTTATTATTTCATTTGGTTAAATAATCTAAATGTTTGTTATTTTTGTAAATATAGTAGTAGTTATACTCAGTGCTGTAACTAGAGTGGTGCCCAGGCATGGTGCAGAAATGACCTGGCCCAAGTTTTGGGTCATAGTTTTGGGATGTAGTTACAGAAGCTCGCACCGGGCGCAGTATTTTGGGGAAATAAGAGTGCTGGTTATACTTTATTTAAATAGGGAGTTGCACATTTTGGAAAAAGGATTTAAGGTGAAACAAAATTATAAAGGAATAATTGTCTCATCTTTGTGAAATTTGAAAGATGTATTGAACAAAGTCTGAATTTTATGTAAAGTTGGGGAATGTTTAAACAAAAAATTAAACATTATTATAAAAATAGAATTTCCAAATAATATGAAATAAAATATTCAAAATATTCTTTTATTTTTCAAAAAGGTGAGACATTTTCGAAGGGAATTTTTACTTAAAAACTTCATTAAAAGGTTTACAATGTAATTAACCACTTTTATGTAAGCATTTTCGGAATATTAAATTAAAATACTGGAATGTCAACATTTAAGAAATTTCCTGAGTAGAATTTAATTTCTTTTCTGTATCACATTCAACAAATTTCGAGATAATAAATTTTTTTTTCGTGTAAAAAATGAATAACGTGCTTCTTATTTGTTTTTTAAAAAAGATTTTCTTATTTACATAATAAATTGTTAATTTAAGTATTTTTGCCTTGTGTAAACACTGTGAAAATGACCTGTCATGTTAACATGCACTCTAAAACTCGATTAAATAAGTTAGTCATCAATATTAAAATTACTTTCAAAAGAACAATCTTGTAGAAAAATCGATTGTAGAGAGTAAAATTTTTACTGTAGATTTTCTAGAAAAATTATCGATTATCAAATAAAAAAAAAGTTTTCATTTTTAAATCTTTTCTGGAAAAGTTTTAATTCTTATTCTAGAATTATTTAATAATTTTAAATTAATATTTTTTAACTTTTAATCGATGATTTTTCTGAAAATATTTTAGAAAATAAAAAATTGACGATTACAAAATGGCATTTTTAATTTTTTCTAGAAGAATTCTAGAATATTTAAAACGAATAAATTTTAATTCTTTCTTAATTTTGAATATTCTATAATATAAGAATTAAAATGATGTAATAATTTATATACAATTACAATGCAGAATA